GATGGAAATGCCGGGGGGAAGAGGCTGCTGGCCAGTTTGGAGGCCACTGCGGGATTTTGCCGGTGCCAGTAGCATCCAGGCCGGGGCATGGGAAGATTTTGCGGCTGTGCTTAAGCCTCTCTGATGCCTGGACATGGATGGGGTTTTTCCAACCCTCGAGTAATCAGCGGCTCAGGAACGAGCAAGCTGATGTCCCTCTTCCCCAGTGCAACCGCACTGGGCATTTTTGAGGGAAACAGATGGGAAAGAGGCGTTCTCCTTGCAGTGCTTGCCTGGTCCGGGTCAAGGTGCTCCGACTCCGCCAGCAAAGCCCGAGCGCTGCTCCCGGGCTGGGCAGAACATCCTGGGCTCACCTGGGAGCTGGAGTCACTCCTGGCTGGGCGCAAAGGTGGAGAACAGGGAGCAGGAAGAGGTGGAGGAAGGCTCAGCAGCCTCCTGCCAGGCCCCCCTAGTGCATGGGAGAAGATGGGTGCAGAATCATGCCCGACATCCTCATGGACATCATGGGATTGCTCCAAACCCCAGGAGTTTTCGGGATCGCTCTCCCTCTTTTCTGACTCTTTATTACTTAACACATTTCCCAGGTCGTTATTTTTTGCCAGACAGGGTCTGCCATCGCCGTGCTCTGGCATGGACCCACAGGGCAGTTCTCACGCGCTGACCCGCGCGAGTTATTCCGCAAGCCGGTGCCTCATAAAAGGCTCCAAAAAAAGGTATTGGAAGCAGGAGGAGCTGATTCACTTAGAGACCCGTTACCCCAGAGAGACCAGCGCCAAACGTCAGCTCTGCCAAGAGAAATTGCCAATTAAGCGGGAGCAGCGGGGGGTCACGCAGATGACAAAACACGGCTGTCACCTCCCCCCAGCACAGCAGGCTGCGTCAGAGATGGGACGTGGCCAAGCCCTTTCGTGTGGGGCTTCTTCTCATCTCCTGGGATGCAAATATGGGACTCGGGGTACCGGAGACCCACAGCAGGAGCACAGGACCCCGCCGGAGCGCATGGGTCCTGCCCTGCCTTGGCTTTTCCCAGCCCACTCGCGCAGCGACTCACACCACGAAGCCATTAAGTTGCACAGTGAGACCCATTGATGAGGCAGAAAGGGAATGGGGACTTGAACCATAATTTTATTAAGGCTTAAATGTCTATCAGGCAGACGGGAGCCGGTCCGGTCACACGACATAAACCAGGAGTGACACGCTGCGCGAGGCGATGGCTTTTCTACAGAGCTTTGCACGAGCAGAGGGGAGCGCTGCCACGTCGGCCCCACGGCCTCCCTCCGTGGCCGCAAGGAGGAGCAGGGGGCACCGGGAGAAGTCGGGGAGCTCCGTGTGCCGTGGAGCACGAGGCCGGTGCCTGCTGCGCCCCCGCGGCTGCTTGTTGAACATTTAAAGGGCTTTAACTCACGGGGAAGCTAAACTCGCGGTCCGCAAGGCACCTACACTAACCACGGGGCAGGAGGCGACGGGCAGAAATCGGTGTCATATAAATACATATTCCTCACTGGAGAAGCTATGGCTTTTATTACCCTTGGACCGCTCTGCTCTGGCGTGATGCTCTAACCCCCCAACTACTCCATAAGCACAAGGCGCCCGAGCTCCTCCGCCGGCCCGGCAGGGAAGTGAACCCTCTGCACGTCGTGGGTGGCCACTGACCTCTTGCAATTCCCACACAGTATCGAGAGGGACTTCTGCTTCTCGGCCAGGCAGGGCCGGCACAGGAGGTGGCCGCAGGGCAGCTGGTAGACGGGCTCCTCTTTGAAGTACGAGGAGAAAGTCTTGCCGCAGGAGGCGCATCCCGGCGCCTGGCCGCTCCTGCCGTGCTCTGCAAAGCGGAGGGGAGAAAAGAGCTCGGTGAGCGCCCTGCAAACCGCGGCGTCGACCCCGCTGCAAGCTGGGGACCTGGACATGGGCCAGGGCTGCACCGCAGCCCGTCGGCTTCCACGCTCTTATGCTCCGGGGCTGCCTCGAAGTGGCATTTGCACCATCCGGTTGTTTTAATTGAGGACAGATGACAGAAAATAAAAGGGCTTCTGGCGCTTACCAAGACTAAATCAGCCTCCCTGTCCTCTCGCAGCAGTTGAATTAACCACCGGCTCCTGCCTGTGAAGCTTTACGTGGCGCTTTGTATTCCTGTCACATCGTGCTACAAAGGGCTACTCAGACAACTCGGAAACAGCAGCAATTCGAAAGGGGGACAGTAAAAAGCTTAATAGCTTAATGTCACCGTGGAACAGCAGAAGCTATTCAGAGGCACGGTCACGGGGAGCTGTGCACCCTCCCTGGGTCCCTCAAACCCACTCCAGCACTCCCAAATGCGGCTTCCCAAGAAGTTGCCTGTGGCTTTGCCACGCTACGTGGCATTTGCTGGATTTACTCAGTCCCTGTCCAAGCAGCAGCTCCCCAGCCAGCACCAAGGAGCCCTGGGCTGAGGTGCTCCAAGCTCCATGTCCCAGGGCAGCTGGGATTGCTCTGGGGCAGCCGGGACTGCGCTGATGCCTGCCCTAACTCTGCCAGCTGTACGTGGGCAACGCACCTCCATTTCCGAGGGCCTAACCTGCCTCGCCAGGGGAATGAACCATTAAAATTTCCAAGATACAGAACCAGTAGGTCAGCACTAGTAGGTAAGACTCACAGAGAGACACTCTGGTGATGTTTTTTGGCCCAAAGAGGCATGGAAAGAGGGCGGGCAGCTTCACATCCCTTCCTACTGAGGGAGCGACAGGCTCTGCCCTTGGCTCCCGAGCGCGAGCAGCGGGGCTTGCTGCTTACCCGGGACGCTGCCCCACGAGCTGCTGCAGCCACCCTCGCTCTGCTGCTGGCCCCGCATCAGCCTCGCCGTGAACGACGGCATCGAGCTGAGCGCCGAGGTCAAGGCTGTGTCCAAACTTTCGGAGAGTCTTTGCTCGTGGGAGACCAGATCTGCAAAGAGAAGCACAAGCTTGAGGACCACTGGGGACAAGCGAGATGGCAGCTCCCCACACAGGTGCCATTTCCCTCTGGAATATTTCAAGAGGGGACCTAAATCCAAGCCAAGGGATAAAGCCAAAGGTACCGAGTCGGAGCTTTTCCTGGTGGATACAGTAGTGTTTTTTTCCTGAGCGCCTGGCTTTGATTAAGTCTGTGTTAAGAAAATGGTGTCTGCACCACTAATTCTGTTAAATAAATCTCCCAGAGGAAGAGCTTGGAATGAGCGCCGCACATTTACTGCAGCAATTGGGGCTGATGAGCCACCGAGGATGTGGAAATCAGCTCCCTGGGCCAGGCACTTGCATCTGGGCACGGTTCTCCCAAGAGCTCCAGGACCCCAGCGGGCCCCCGTGCAATAAAAATAACAAGTGACTCTCCCTAAAATACGGGATGAACTCCAGAGGAGAAATCAGAGCAGCAATGTCCAGTCCAGCTCCTCCCTGCAGTTTCTGGTACCGCCAAAACACCTGTTATTTTTAAGTAAGTCTTTAAAGAATATGATTTAAAGCAAAGAATGTGTTTTAAATCAAAGCTTTTCCCTCCAACATATCGCTTAGCACTCTGGGGAGGAGGAAGAAGGTACCAGGTAGCAGTGGGCCCTAACAGCAGTTGCAAGGACCTTTTGACATGTTTCAGATGAGCAGTTTAGAGACACACAAGAAAACTCCACTTACCTGCCCCGAGAGAGCCCTTCTGTGCCCAGAAAACACATGAACACCGGGGGTTTACACCGTCCTACCTGCCTGCAACGCAGGGCCTTGGAGACAGGGACACTCTCCTTGCTCTCAGCTAAATATGGGATTGCTAAAGCTGCTCCCGCTGAAGTTTAGTCTCCTCCTTGCCATGGGACTGTTACCTAAGGCTCGGTTTAATGGGAAAATAGAGAACTTGCTGTAGGAAACACAACTATATCCAATAACGAGTTGCAAAGAGAGCAATGCTGATACATTTTAGGGGTATCTGTGTAAACAAGGCAGAAATCCATCATAGCAAAACAGGTATCAATTCTGGCGAAAGAACCAGTGTGGAGGAGCAATTACCCACAAGCCAAGCTCTTCACCACAGACTGGTGATGAAAATACAGGTTGCTTGGGGCTAAACCACAAGGGGGAAGAGCTTTTTGGAGAGAGGTGTGGATTTCCTTGGGGCTTGAACCATAAATCACCCCTGATTTCTAAAGACTGTCACTTCCTAAGAAGTCAGCCCCAGCACTTAAATCCTGTCATGAGGGAGCTGCTAAACCTACTGTGTCCCACACTCCTGCAACAGCCTCTAGCACTAAGTGGGTATCCAGAGTAATAAATTACCCTGGATTAAAAAAACCCCAACCCACTACATTATGAGAAAAAGGTTGTATCCACATGCCAGTGACTGGAAAGCAACAAGCAGAAAGGAAATACGAATGAAAAAAAAAAATAGGGAGAGCTGACCCATCAAGAGAGCTGTGAAACAGACTGCACAGGACCAAAAAGGTGAGAACAAAGAGCCTAGAGATGAGAAAAATAACGGCACCGGATGGAAGCAAATACCACCCCTGGAGGGCAGGCTGTGCTGAGGGGGCACGAATAAGAGAAAAAACTGATTTCCATAATGTCCATCTAAAGCCAAACACAACAGCCTGAAAGCTTCTCAGAGGTGGCACGAGAATCTGGGCTGGGGCCTCCTGACATGAACACCTGGTCCAGGACAGTTAAGAACCAGAAGTGAAGGTGGGAGCCGAGGTACCTGTTGAACAGTCCATTTGGGTCAAGTGCGAGTCAGTGTCCGTTTTCATTTTTTTTGCACTGTTCTCTGAGGTAGACATGACAAGAAAGTTTGTAGCAGAAAAACAGGGCGGCTGCGCAGAGCTTTGATCCATCGAGTCCACCTTCCTCTTCAGAGAAGACATGGTCAGGGAGGAGGGGGCGAGCGTGTCGGCGGCGCGGGCCCGGCCGAGCAGGTTGGTGCCTGGGATGCTGTGCTGCAGTAGGAAATGGTCAATCCTGGCCTTGAGCGTGGGGTGAGGTAGGGGCTGCGAGTGCTGGCTGAAGGCCACCCCCGTGAAGGGATCGCTGGGGACCCGGCCCCAGGAGGCCTCGCTGCGGTTGCACTTCTCCAGGGTGCTCTGGTCGATCACCTTCCCCGAGGGCAGGAGCATGGGCAAGGTCATGATCTCCAGAGTGATGGGGTCCAGGAATTCCTCGGGGACGTCCTGGACGACGTCGACGAGCTTGCGCAGCGCCTGCTGCTCGCTCTCGCCGGTGCCGAGGGGCGCGCAGTCGCTCTCCATGGGCGCCCACGGGCGGGAGGGCGCCCGCCGCCTGGGCCCAGCACTGCGAGGCCACCTGGAAGACGCCCTCGACCACCTCTGGCGGGCACGACTTGGCCGGCTGCCCCCACACCTCCAGGCGCCTGACGCAGGGCAGCCCGCCACCCGCCACGTGCGTGATGCAGAGCTTTAAGTGTGACACGTTGCTGAGCGAGGCGGGCCCTTTGTCCCACAGGTCTTGGGATGCGGAGCCGGGATAGGAGAGGACGTTTTCCATCTGGTGGAAGGGAGGCCTTGGCTTGAAGCCTCTGTGGCCGAACGTCACTTTGCTTTGATTTTTTAGGACAGCTTTGCCCACCAGCGTGAACGCGTCTTTGTCTGACACGGGCTGACCGGCCAGAGCCCAGGACTGGCACGCCGGGCCTCGGCACAC